GGGGGGGGAGGGAGGGCGTCTCTGAGCTTCACTAGTGAGTGACACTCGGAGCGCACACACTCGCGCTCCGCACTGAGCCGCCCAGGGGAAGAGGAGAGCGGAGGACAGAGGACAGGGAGTACCCAGTCCCGCAGCTGCCGGTGCACCCAGGGCATCAGACGGCCGGGAGCCCCGCTGGCCCAGCGCTTGCGTTCTGCGGGGCCCACGACCGTGCGTGTTCGTGAGTGTGCACCGTCCGGTCACGACCATCCGTCGGGAGGCGCGGGAGCCCAGGCTGCCGCCGCTGCCTCTGCCCCCTTGGCTGCCCCGGGCTCCACGCAGCTGCCTCCTCCCGCGGGCCGGCCGGCTCGCTCCTCGCTCCCTGGAGCCCTAGGTGCCCGGGTCGGGGCGGCAGCCTCCGCCGCCGCAGCTGCCTCCGCAGCTGCCTCTGCAGCCTCAGCTCCCGCTTTAGCCCCGTCCAGCCGCGAGCCTCAGGCTCGACGCCCCGCAGGGGCTCCGGACGGCCCGGGGTGCCCCCGGGACATGTAGAGGTACCCGCAGCTGCCCAGGCCCTTCGTCCGGGAAGCCAGCAGCAGCAGCAGCGGCGGCTGCAGGACCGCGTCCTCCCTCCTGGGGCCATCCGGGAGCCCCGGCCCAGAGGCGGTGCAAGTTTGCAGCGTCCTCAGCAAAGTTGGGACTCTGCTTCTGGGGCGGTTGCCGCTTCTACCAGAGCCCCGGCGGGACCCTGGGGGTCGGCCTGGGCGCTGGAGTTTGTCATCCAGGACGCACCGAAATAATCTGCACAATATCAAAGAAGCACCTCACTTGGAGGGAAAAAAAGAGTGTTTCCTTCTGTCTCAGGGCAAAAACCCCGCAAGCCAGACCTGGAGAGGTAGGTACCAACCAGAGGGAAGCCTGCGGCATCCATCCCGAAGCCGCGGCCCGCGGACTGACGGATCGGACCAGGCGCACAGACGCTTTCCTTCCCTCGGGGAGCTCTGGGGAGTCTTTGGAGCCGTTGGGGGTCCCATGGGGGGTGGGGGTCAGAAAAGTGAACTATTAGCGTGGGGTTGGTGCGTGCGGGGCCCACAGCCCTCCCTTGGCTGGGTCCACAGAGAAGCTGAGGAAAGGAAGGGGATGATTTGGGCATTCAAGGTGCAGTAGAAGGCAGAAGGTAGCCCCTAAGCTGGGTTGGGGTTGGGGGGGGGCCGGGTTTGTTCTCTGTGAGGCGGAATCCCCTGGGGATGAACCTGGGAAGATCAGGAGCAGGGCACCGAGCTGAGAGAGGGAAAGGACGCCCCTCTGGGACTCTTAAGGACAGGGAGGGTGCTGGTGCCTGCCGCAAAGGGCAGAGGGTGGCTCGCTCGGGACGCCTAGCTGCCACTTCGCTCCCCCTGTTTAGGCTGGCTTACTGTCTCACCAAATGAAAACAACTCACATTGAGTAAAGGCACACTGCATGGAGGAGCATGCAGTGCTTGCCTTTGGGGCTGTAAAGACACCAGCCACGCAGCCCCTTTTCTCCAGGAACTTGCACCCTTCTTTCCCCCGCCCCCAAGTGATAGAGACGTTGGCGGGGCAGGGTTCAAATTTGCCTTGAGGTAAGGTAGGAAAAGGTCATAGATTTCGAGCTGCAAGTGACCTTAGATGTGACTGGGTCTAACTTCTTAATTTTAAGTATGAGGAAACTGAGGCTCAGAGACAGTACAGTGCCTTCTTCGGGGTCACATAATTAGTCCGCGGTAGAAGTCTGGGGCTGGTTGCTGACGACACGCCCCAGGAGGGAAGGGATAAGCTGCCCAGGGGGTCTTCTCTAGGTGCCTAAGGCACACGGTGGAGGCAGGAAAGGAATACTCTCCCTCTGGAGAGGAGACCCCCTCCCTCTGAGGGGATCCCCCTTTCTTGCTCACGACCCTTCCTCCCTTCTTCAGCGGCCAGCGTATACAGGACAGGTACGCTGGGCAGCAGTTACGGGATGGTGAGGTCAAGAGAAGCGGGGTGGGGGCGGGGAGGACGGCAAAAGAGATCTACGTGCCAGTCTGGACTCCTTCTTTACACATTGCCCGAGCACGCAAGGTCAGGGCAGCAGGGCAGAACCTGAGAGAAGACCCGGCCATCCCCTTATAGGACCCTGCCGGGAAGGAGTCATCAGCTCCCCTAGTAGAGAGTTTAGCTAGTCAGATTTCTGGTCCCTGCCCCTTCCTCTGCCCATTGGCCCCCACTCTGTCCCTCTCTGCCCTTTATGTTTGCGGGTCCCCGGGGATCCCAGCCTCCTGCTATTCCGCCCTCTCAGACCCCAGCTGAGTCCCTGGAGAAACTCAGCAAAGAGACGCCCTGGGCGGAAGGCGGTAATTGCCTTTTCTCCAGAAACTGGGTATGAAAGTGTGGCCCGCTGCGCCCGCCTCCCCCTCCCACTCCCCGGGAGGAGGAGAAGGAGGAGGAGGAAGAGGAGGAGGATGGCAGCAAGATACCGGGGAATCAGACAGCCTCCTGCCTCCCCCAACGCCCCAGCCACCACTGGAGGGCTGCCCCGGAGCCCTCCTCCTCCTCCTCCTCCGACCAGGGGGCGCCCAGTCGCCATCCCGGGAACAGACCTCGGGGGTAGCTCGCCTGCACTTCTTTTCTCGGTACTCGCAGACAGCTTCGTGGGGCTCCTGGTGGCTTTACTTGTCTTCTTCGGCTTGCCCGACGTCACAGGAAAGGCTCTTTCTTTCCTCCCGCCTGTTCTGAAGCTTTCCTTCCCAAACACAGCACCACTTTTGAGTTGTCTTCCTCGTCCTTCTTGTCCTTCCCTTCCTCTCCCCGCTCCTCCCAGCCCCTTGACCTCCCCTTCTCCTCCTTCTCCTCCTTCTCCCACCCAGAGCCTCAGAAAGAGACTGGGAGGTTTCTGTTGTTCCTTGCCGCCTCTCCCCACAGCCTCCCCAGTTGGGTAGAGGTGAGAGGAAAGTGCTGATCCCAGGTGCGCTTAATGGGGATGGAAGGAGCAGGGTGGGGGGGAGAGAGACACAGAGAGAGACAGGGACAGAAGCATGAGAAAGAGAAAGACACTGAGAAATGTGTATGTGAGGACCTTCAACATTTATTACTGATCATTATTTGTTAAAAAAGTGATAATGGGATTGTAAGGCGACTACATTTTATGCTCAAGTCGATCGGTTTACTGCAAAGTTTTCTGAGTGATTTTTGTGAAAATACCTGGAAGGTATTACTTTCTGACACTTCTCTTTCATATGGGATTAATCAAACTCTAGGAAAAATATTATTATTTTATCAAAGTGAAAAATCCACACGGTTTTGAATTCTGAGTGATGCTTGTAGTTTTATAAACTGCCCTCATTTGCTTCAGTATATCTCCTCAAAATTTAAAAACTGGGCAACATAATTAATTAGGGTCCCAATTCCCATTTTTAATCTAAATGTATTTGGAATTATGTTAAAATGTCCCTTGACTTAGCCTTCAGTAGGATTTTTCTCCTAGCTTTTGGGGGGCAAGAGGGTCGAGTAACTAGCCATAAATGACTCAGCAGCTAGACAAACGAATACTAATTCATATTTTTCTCAAAAAAAAATACTTTCTATATCCATAGAAAGAAAAAAAAAAGCCCATATAAGCTTCTGGCTCTCCCCCTCCCGTGAGCCTAACTTCAATGTCTGTCCTTAATCTGGACCACACTCTCTAAACATAACAACTTACATACAGCCTGCTCTGGGATATTGTTTTCATTTTTATGTCAGATCTTTTTATTCACTAAACCTGGATGTCAAAGCAGCAGGCTAAGCATTGCAATAACACTCTGTTTTAATTAGTAACTATCATTAAAAGAAAGAAGAAGCTAGAAGGCTGTAATGGGCCCAAATTGCTTAGAATTACGTGTGGTTTAAATTATGCCTTTATTTCAGCAGAAATAAGGCAATGAATAGAAAATATCTTTTAATCACTTGCAGATACAGCTTTTATCTCTTAAGACAGTAACAAAATATGTAATTGAAGAATCTCTTTTGGTCTTAGAAGTTTTTTGGGGGGGGGGGGAAATCCCTCAGTTTATTTGTCCTGGACCTATTTAACATTCATGTGAGAAAGTATGGTGCTTTCCCAAAGCTGGGTAGTTTATTGTTATAGGCAAATGTAACTTTCTGGATAGCCACAGTGGGTCAGTCATTCTAAGGCTAGGGATCAAACTTCATCAGCTGGTTGAGGAACCTGGTGATTCAGCTTTTAGCTCCTTTCCTACCCAGATTCCTTTTGGGAGGGGAGAGCAAAGAGTAAAGGGGAGAAGAATGGAGGAGGGCAGGAGGGTAGTGCTATTTTTAAAACTTTAATCAAGTAATGTTTGAAGGGGGGAGGATATAGGGGTGATTTCTCCTCTTCCATATGTTTAGAGATTTACTTCATTAACAGTTTCATGTCTAGAGAGCTAAATTGAACTTTAAACATCTCTCTCTCTCTCTCTCTCTCTCTCTCTCTCTCTTTCTCCCCCCCCCCACATATGGTGGGTGTCATTGATCACAGTGCCCCACAGAAAGAGGACTCAGAATAGATAAGAGGAAAACTCTGGCTACAATGTATTTGTGTGCAAATCCCCAATTTTCAGAGGGGCACCAGGATTCCATCATACTCTCCCATGCTAGAAATATAGGTGAATTTGAGAAGGTTAATTCTCTCAGTAGTTTTCCTTGAGAACTCACTAGGTGGTACCAGGGGACAAGATGTGGGCCTTGCACTATTAGGAGCTCAACATCTTCCCTTCCCCCTTGTCAAGTTTTCTCGTAAGCAGCCGGCACCCTCCCTGGCAGCAGGTGAAAGTGCGAACTTTGCCAGAAGTGGATTGCCATCTGCTAGCTGCTAGGAAGAAGAGAAGAGTGAGTGTTATTGGCCAATACTGTGTCAGAATTGAGAAATATTATCGCCCCAACAATTTATATGGACTTGGGGCAGGGCCTAGAATACTTATTTTGGAATGTTTTGCTTTTTTTTCCCTTTAATCTTATTTTTTTTTCTTCATCTCAGAGCCTATAATTTTTTTTTTTTAAGAAGGAGCAGAGGTCATCACGGATTATAATTAAATGAAATCTCTATAGGCTCTACAAAAATCTGTGCTTTGAAAACTCATATTCAACTTTCTACCCTCCTCCCATGAACTAAGCATTGCTTTCAAGAATTGATTTTTTTTTTCAAATAGATTTTGGACTCTACCAGTTTTTCAAAGTGAGTTCTACTTTATTACTGCACAGTATTATCAAATATAGAATGATAGCCAGGATTCCTTATATTAATTTCCAATAAAGGGAAAACACCAAGCCCCTCCTACCTTTTCTTTTAAAAGTAATGGATGTCTCTCATGTCATGATTCACAGGAGAGTACAATTGTTCTTACAATTTTGGAGTGGCTGCAGCAGTTTGTGGGATGAGGTCCATGAATTCAGTTACATTTCAAGTTAACAAAGACTGCCCTGGGTACATTTAGGCCTCCAGGAGCATACCTAGCATCTGCTACAATGCAATCCAGGCAGTGCAGTGCCAGCAGAAGTCAAAGCATCCATTGGACCTTCATGCCCAAATGTACAGCCCAAAAAAGATACGACTGCCATTTTGCTTTCCTTCATCTTAGTGTGAACAAAATAATTTACCAGAGCTGTAGTCTAGAAATCACAGAGGAATTTGTTCCAGATGACATCTGCAAAACATGATGGAGGGAGTATATGTTTTAATTTTGCTGAACAAAACCCACAGCTTGTTTTAACATCTTAAAATATTAGAAGAAAAAATCTGAAGATGGGATAAAAGACAGACAGCACAATGGTTCAGTAGGGGAGTGTGTGTACATTTCATTGATGAAGAGGCAATTTTAAGCAAAGAACAGCTGGGCATTGGGTCCTGTTTCAAGGCAACATT